TAGAGAAGCTGAACCTGCAATGGGAAAAACGAAGAAGTGCAGGTAAGTGATCAGAAAGACAATGAATATGTTATTGATCAAATGGAAAGAGATAGAAAACAGAATCGTCCTTTAACCGTCTATCTTCTGAATTAGAACAGACTATTTCTCGCAATCAGCAGGAATGCATAGATGATTCGATCATGCGCTGCATGTTCCGTGTAGCAAAACAAAAATCCATGATACAGATGATTACAACATTCTACAGATGTTAAATTTTGAGTTTTCTCTTCAGTTATGAATGCTATATATATCCATAGAAAGATGAATGCCGTCTGTTTATGTACTCACCACACAAGTTGCTCGTTAGGGGGTCCCCGGAATTCATCATTTCTTCTATGCTCAAGGATCCACACAACTAATCCCACAATGAGGAAAAATGCGGCTGTGACAGCCCACATCAATGGAGTAAATGGCCCTGCGAAGGACCAAGCACTCGAACTTATCTTTTTAGCTGGAGCTACAACAACCAGATCTGATTCTATATACGGCAGAGTGAAATCGACTATTTTTGTTCGGTTTGTCACAATGGCAACATCACCCACCACGCCATCAAAAACCTAAAGAAACACAGTTAGAATCTACAGAAAATGTAATATCTATCGCTTTATCATTTAAGAAAAAAGTTGCATTTTCCTAATAATATACTCACACCGGACTTGATTTTACTGACAAGCTTGTAATAACTCGGGTTCTTATGTCCATCTCCAAATGGAATAAACCTATAGGGAAGACCATACGGAAGCAATTTGATTGCAGCAAGGAACACATCTATGCAATATCCTTGCACTTTATTGGTACCATTGGCCAACAAGACAAAGTCTCGGTAACTAACTCGCCTCGGGATTCCAATCCTTAATGCTCTTCCATTATTAGGAAAAACCCAGCCACGGGGATTTTCTGTTTCTTCCCCAGGCCATACCACACTGCCTAAATGTTGGTTTGAACTCGAACGGTTAGGTTTTTTTGTATAAAGTGTCTTTGGTGGCACAATGGACAAACCGGTGTGGTTAGACCAGTATCCAACTAGTCGATGCCCAGTTCCAACTGCATTTATAATGTCATAGGAAGGATTTATCAGGGATCTTTCTTGATTAAACTGGACATGCCCTGTCAGACCAGTCATATTTGTCTCCAGTATGTTCTTAAGCAACAGATTCCCTCCATCAAATATATTCAATGCAGAAAGATATAGACCGCTCCCAGTATAACCATTTAATCTTGTATCATTGGAAAATGAAATTGTGCCACCCTGATCGAATAGCAACCTTACTGCATGAGCTATGATCCAAACAGTGTCGTAGGCATATAGACCGTAAGAGTTAAACCCAATAGTACCGTTACTCAGCCGGTTCCAACGTGACAGAAAGTCTCTTTTCCTTTTAGAATCAGGTGTATGAGGGCGAAGTGTAAGTGCTCCTTGGATTGAGTTTGTTATCTCAGGTTTAAGCGGGGAAGTGGAATCTAGAACAGTGGACAACCAAGAAGAAGCTATCCAAACATATCCTTTCCGCATCATTCCAAGGCTCTTGGCCACTTCAAAGTCCAAGAGACCCGTCTTCGAGTCAGTGTGAAGAACTATAATTCGAGACTCCATCATTTGAATCTTTTCTAGTTCCCTGGAAACATCACGTCTTTTGGCCATCGAGTCTGGTGGAAGTGCAGCTTTATAGGCAATTCTGCAACGCCTCTCTGCAAGTTTATCACCTAATGTGATTACACCGTTTCTTCCTTGATCATCATCACTGAAAACAGCAATAACTTCACTCCAACTGAAATAGCTAACCATCTCAGAAATGGCGGCCATCTGGAATTCATCATTAGGTGCTGTTTGAACAAAGAAAGGATACTGTAGAGGTGTCAGGCTGGGATCTAGAGCCGTGAATGACAATAGAGGAACCTGGAGTTCATTTGCAAGGTTTGATAGAATATGAGCCATCACAGCACTTTGTGGACCAATTATCGCTATGGTATCAGTCTCCATGAACTGCAATACTGTGAATAGCAAAGAAACTCAAATCATGAGAATTGTTATTTCCCCATGAATATACTCCTGCACGATGAGGTGAAATATTCGTAATGATTCATCATAAGTACTTCCATCTATCCTATGTAAACATAGAGTTCTACTGATGGAACATGAATGAAATTAACCGAAAATATATAGAATTAAAAGACAAGAGACTAAAAGACAATAACAATTAGTATACCTCCAATAATGCCAAGAAATGAGCTGAAGTTAGAATCATGCAGTGCTATAGACAATTTCCTTCCACCGAGAACACTTGGATTGGAGTTAATATCATCCTCGGCGGCCTTCATCGCGGCCCTTGCGACTTTCCCGTTAATAGTATTTAATGATAATATAGCTCCAACATTCACGGTACCAGGCTGTGAAACCTCTTCTGAGAACACTCCAATGAAGATACTGAAAGTTGGGAGCAGCAAAACCAGGTTCATGGTGGCAATGAATGGCATATCTCACCACTCACCATATATCTTCAAGCACCAAATAGGAAATAAATGAATGAAATACTCAGATTAGTCTATTAATCAACAATCAAACTCGAGCAATACCAGAATCAGATTAACAGCCTAACAGAGCTAACCAGAAAAAACCATATCATCCACAGGGAGTGAAGAGAATGATTCAATTCCAAGGCAAACCAAAACACAAACACACAAAAGGAAAAGAAACCAGAAAGCAATTAAAAGATCTTAGTTTATGAAAGAAATTATCACAAAACACCAAAAATAACATACAAAAATAACACACAAAGAAGCAATTGAAAGATTTTAGTTATGAAAGAAAGTCTCAAAAGAAAACCCAGTTCAACTACAGGCATGGAGGACTAAAGACCAAAAATAACATACAAAAAGCAACGAGCTCAACTGAGAACACACGAAATTTCGTATTTTTTTCGACAGCAAAATGTGTAAAAGCAATAATTCAATAAATGCCCCATTAACGAGGGAACCAGTACTCACCTCAAGCTCAATGCAAAGACATGGATGGAGGTCGAATTCAGGAGAAGTGGCTGTAAAGAGACTACCAATCTTCCTATAAAAGGATTGGCAAGAGCCCCTTAATATACAAAAAACACATGCCACTGGAAACAGTAAGTTGAGCAGCAAATGGGACAAAGATAAAGTAAAAAAAAAACTTATAGAAAAGAAAAATAACCGATTTTTTTTATTCACACTACTTGTAGGGAGTATCATTTTATATGAACGGAAACACTTTATGATGGAAAAAAGTAATACCTTTCGCGCAGAAAGGAAAGGAATAACTTGGTTTTTATGCTGCTTCCCATGAGAGGCTGCCAATGGAATTTCGGATTGCTCTTCTCGCTTTCACTATAATATAATACTTGATGGATGTGGCAGACAGAAATAAATTCTCGGTAAAATATTAAGAAGAAAATATTTTATTCATCAATAGTATATATAAATATAAAGGTTCTATAATATGTAAAAGTAATATCATGTATTAGTCGTGTCATATTTAACCTATGAATTTGTAACATTTTTCTTCAAGTTAGAGAATAAATTTTAGTCATGCCATGATTATTGTATAGATAATTAATCTTAACTCGGTTAAGAATCTTTTAATTGTTTTATCACTTTTACATAATCAATAGTAATTAAATAATCCTCAAACTTTTAAGGCGTTTGTATTTTGGTCACCCAACTTCTGAAATTTACAATACAGTCATTGACCTTTTAGTTCGTTTTCAAAATGGTCCCTGCTGTTACCTCCGTCAGTTTTTGCTGACGTGGCAAATTAACTACGTTAAAACAACACCCCGGGTCTTCTTCTTCTTCCTTCTTTCTTCCTTCTTCTTTCGTTAGCTCTTCATATCGATAGGAAACGATGAGCTGATCTTTGTTTTTCAGGTCCTCAACTGCGCGAGCTATTGAAACAGCCTCGACCACTTCCTTTAGAGGAGGAACGGGTTCGTTTGTTGCATGAGGTGTAGTATATTTTACTAATCACTGCAGGTTTTTCTCTTGTTTTAGTAATCGAATTCAATAGATAGTATGGATGGTATCGCTTTGTTAACAGGCTTATTCTACCCTGCAATAAGTTGAATGATTTCATTAATATTCGTGGTTTAGGTTGGCTTTTTCACAACACTTGGATATGTTTAAATGGAAATTTATCGTGCTGAAGAATCGAAGAGTTTATCCGGTGTACGATGAATATATTGCAGGGTTTCGAGACACTCGGTGTACAAAGGGAACCAGGTATTCTTGTACAAAAGAGCACATATATTTTGTTGTTGACTTGTGGGGTGCATTCAAGGGCCAAGGATATGGAGAATTCAATGACATTTGCTCGATCACTATGTTTGCCGACTATATCGCTCCGGCTGTCCTCCAGCAGCTTGGTGTGCTGAAATATAGTTCGACCCTTGCGAATGCCATTCAGGCTAGTAGCGAAATAGGTGCTGGCACGGAAGAGGAAATCGAACTTCGAGCATGTTCGATTTATGATGTGGAGAAAATGAGAGAGTTACTAAGCATAAAGTCCGGAAAGCAGGTAGGTCCGGATTCTTTAAACATGCTCGTACACTAACTCTTAATGTCGGTTTACGAGCTATCGCTCTGTAAAAACAGTATCAGAAAAGGTTTCCATGTCATCAAATGAATCATGTTGCAGCTCATAGTTGCAGCATTTTTTTTAATCTTAAAACTTAGAAGAAGAAGAAGAAAGAAGAAAGAAAGAAGAAAGAAAGAAGGAAGAAGAAGAAAACCTGGGGGTGTTGTTTTAACGGAATTAACATGCCACATCAGCAAAAACCGACGAGAGGTAACGGCAGGGACCATTTTTTTGTCATCAAATTAATATTTGCTTTGTAATAATTGAAATCAAAGATTTAAAACACAAAGTGAGCCCACAGTTGTAAAAGGGGAATCTCAATTTTGTTTAAGCATGAAAACAAGCCATCACAAAAGTTGAAGGAAACTCTTCATCTAATAAACACCAACACTGACACCATAGAAGTAACATATATTCGTCCAAGTATAGTGACATTCTAGCAGAAGCTTTGCAATAGAATAATAGCACAAAATTCTCCACGGAAAACAAATGGAATGTGTGCCTCAATCATGCTCTAGCCTCTACCTAGTTCCAATCCACAAGGAAGACACATACAGGTGGGATGATCTATCAAGAAAACATTCTCATCAAAGCCAACAATACTCATAAGATTTGTAAACACAAAAAAATTAAACAAAAGATCTTCTAAATGACAAGGTGATACATACATGTTCGCCAAAGTTCTATGTTCTGCACACTTCTGGACAAATGAATTGTCGACCTTTGTGGTTATCTTTTAATCTCAACAAGTCATCCCAATAAGTGAACTTTTGTCAAGGAAATTTCATAGAGAAACTATATTAATGAGCATTAGTGTAATATATAAATGAATAACAATATACTTAATCAAGACGGATATGCTTTTGGCCAATTTGGTGATAGCTCGTTCCATGTAGACTTAGTAAGCATCCAGCCAAGACCAGGAAAGAAATCTAAGCGATAAAGTGCATCCGCATGGAATAATTAAAGCAAATTAAGAAATAGAAAGCACCAAAATTTTCCGTTTCAAAAAAAAACAAAAACAAAATTGTGTTCAAGCATGAACATGCAAAATCAAAAGTGCAAGGCTTATCCAGAAGTAGACTGCATAAAAAAACTTGAACTACATGTTGCACATGGATAGAGAGAGAGAGAGAGACAGAAGGGGGGGTCCTGGTAATGAGCAAACATCCAAATGAGACCAGGATAAAATTAAATATCTGCCTCATAGTCACAGCAGCTCAAATTTTAAGGTGAGCACTCCATGGGAGGATTAAGAAATAGCATAGAACCTTAAAATCCATGGAATCTAGAAAAAAAAAACTATAGAAAACCAGTCAAATCCTGAATATAAAAACACATCAATCTTGATTGTTTTCCTTGAAATAAATTCCATTGAGAGAAAAAACTTACATGGGTCATACACAAACTGCTTTTGCCCATTGTCATTCCATGAGGAAACAGCCATAATTAACCTACATGATTTAATAACAAGAAGGTGAAGAAGGAAAGAGAATGCAAACCCTCAAATTAAATCAAAATAGAGGGAGATAATAGAGGGAGATCCTGATTTCATTCTTGTAACATACTTATCCTTGTCGAGAAGGGCTGCAGCTGCTTCAAAGTAATCAAAAAAGTCGGGGGCAATTTCCATATCATCTGTCTTCAAAAGTGATTCTCAGTCAGTACAATATTCCTTTTGTTGTAAGAAATGATAAAAGAAGAAATTTGAAGCAATAATCCAAAAAAGAAGACAACTTCACCTTCAAGTATAATTACTCGGTCAAAATTGTGTTTGTAGAACAACTCATCCAATGCCCATTTGTAGTGACATTAATAGATAAAACGTTAAGAGCAGAAACCAGTAGAAGCAATGTCAACACTGAAAAATGAGAGAGACTATCCTTACGGGCAATCTTGTAGTATGCGATCAATTCCCCTGGTCTTTCTGTTTGCAATGGATCATAATCTATATGCTGAAAGAAACTAAAGTAAGCATTCACTGGATGGGTTTTGATAAATAAGGATAAGGCAAATCATATGAATAGGGCAGGAAAAAGGAAGAGGACTCATCCAATTCAACTTTTCCAATGGAGACTAAAAGGGAACAGAGAAAAAGCAATTTACCTGCATATAAGTTAGCTGATTAAAAAAACTCAAAGCCTTAGCTTTAGCATTTGGATCTGATCCATCCTGAGAAGAAACTATCACAGTTAGAAGCATTTCTTCTTTTAATGACAAAAAAGAACAATAAAGTGTCTGTTGTGCATGAAGTACAAAGTTAAAACAAGTCAAATAGACAAACTTTTTGTTGCTAATAAAGAATAAGATTATAAGTTTGAGTATCTGAGATATAAAAAGGGGATATTTTGAAGTAACAGAGCTCTGATACCTGCAGATTTAAGCCATCGTAAATCAGGTTAAAATTAGCTACAATCTGGTCAAACAGAATAAGCTATCAAAAAACAAGGGTCAAATAAACATACTTTAAGACAGACACAATTGTCCTTTCCAGATAATCAGCACGATTGCAATCCATATTTACTACAGCTGCCACTGGTACCTAAAGCATTCAACCCAAAGATTGTTTCAACTATTACATGCGGTACTTTGTGGAGATATCGTATAAGAATGCTCATCATCTCACGAACTTGTGTTTTATCAATTATTCTTTGAAGGGTCTTTTCTGAAACAACCAAAAGGAAAGATGTCAACTGGCTATAAAACATTTGAAGCACCAAAGGAAAGAAAAAACTTTTTTGAAGGAATAATACAAAAGAAAGACAGGTGCATACAAATATGAAACCCCAATAAATAATTAAATAACTGCACAATTCAGAATTTCAAAGCTTCTTAGCAAAAACTAATTACAGAGCAAGAAGTAAATCAATGCCAAACTACATTGATGGAGGAGCAGAATGGCCTTCATCAAGATCCAGCCATCGATCCAAATTCAGTTGGACGACATGACATTAATAACCTTAAAAATGGTAATGAACTGTACCATAAACATAAAAGGTCGCATAAACTAATTAGAAAAGTTACATAGATCCCAATTGTCGAAGATCACATGATCTGAACATCACAAGGCTTCACTTGGTAACAAAGACAGAAACGGGTCATCGTGGTAAAGTTTGAATCCCAAAGGTTAAGCTACAAAGTAGAAAAATGGTACATAAAACCTAACCATTAGATTAAAAGCTCTTCCTTCCTTATCCGTTTCTACCCTTCCTAGTTCCTACAAAGTAAAGCCTTAATATGTGCCTAGAAACCATAGAAGGATCTTCTTAGAAAATATATAATTGCAATCAAGCAAGATAAAAGAAAGTACTTTCGAGATCATTAACAAGAGCCTTAAATTGTGCGCACTCCTGATCCTTTCGCTTCTTCCCCTCTGAATTTGTAGCATGAAAAGAGGGAATGATTTAAATTCCATGAAAAACAATATCGATTTCAACCTTGTCTACTGAAAAGAAGAATGTATAAAGGATCAAAATGAAGGAAATCCACACATTCCAGGGCCACAATTTGCTCTTGTTGCATACTAATTTGATCAATAAGTAGTCGCATTTGACTTGTACAATGGTGCTCTGCATCCACCTGCCAAAAATTGAAAAAGACGCCATTCGATCCTTAGGTTTCGTAAGGATTAATAAAAAACGCAGAAGCTTTTGAGAGCTAAAGGTAGCAATAAAGTTAAGCTTACTAACCGTTCAGCCATTGGATCTGCGTATTCAGATTGCGTGGCGAAAAGTCGCATCTACAAAAGGTACGAAACAAGCGTATGATTTGATATATACATAAATTTAGAATTTCAATTAAGTAGAGAAAAATAAAAGGGAAATGGAGCATGGATTGTTGATTTTACCTGGATATATATGAATAGGAATCCAGCGGGGATGATAAAGTACCGGAAATCTCAGCTTAGCCTTGCCATTTTTATGATTATCCTCCGGCTGATTTAGAAGAACGGAGATCTACGATCTCACTATTTTCTTCTCCACTTTGATATATGATTTTTCGTTATTCAATCAATCTTCATTTCTTGAATTGTAGAAGCCACTGTGAACATAAAATTAGACTTCGGACCTTCTTTTAAAAAAAATCCGTGTATTACTCGACTTGGGCGGTGACTCCAATTTACGCAGAATTGGCTAACATGCCACTTCGAATCCTTCCACAAGCAAATCAAAATCATAATCTTTTAGTAAAATGTAAATTAAATAATGCATTTAGTACCTAAACTATTAGTTTTAGTCTTTTTAATACATTAATTTTTTAATTTTTTAAAATTATACCTAACATTTATTTTTTATTCTATTTTAGTATATCGTAGTTAAAGAACACTTTTTTATGGGTAAATCACATCATTCAATTACTCAACTGTCTTCTAACTCCTATTTTGGTAAGGAAAGTTTAAATTTTTAATTTAGTTACTTAACTTTCAAATTACCCCTAATTTAAATTACTCTAACTTTCAAATTTATTTATTTTATCTTTAATCATATATAGATAAAATAATAATAAAAATTCTCATGTCACAAAAAATATTAATAAAATAAATTAAAATGATTAAAATAGAAGCAATTTGAAAGTTGAGTAATTAAATTGAAGATTTTTAGACTTTAGTACCAAAATAGGAATAAGAAGATAATTGAGTGATGAATGATGTAATTTATCCATAAAAATGCACGCCGTTAATTTTTTAACGATTGTACTAAAATAAAACAAAAACTAAATATTATGTACAAAGGTTTTTCTATCAAAACTGATCATTTATGTATTAAACATATAATTTACCCTAAAATATATTCAGAAAACAATCACGTAAGCATACATAAACAATCCAACATAAAGCTTAAATCAAACATAGGCATGAATCTTAAACTTATTTAGAATACTCCTCTTCTTTTTAGGGGTGAGCAAAACTCGACTCGATTCAAAAAAATTTCAAGTTGAAAGCAAATCGTAGAATATAACTTGAATAACTCAAAATTTTTAGTAATTAATAGATTGATTTTCACCCATCTTTTTTTTTGAAGCAAGATTGTTAGGCTTCAAGCTTCCCGTTACATCTAAAACTCATGTTGAGCAAGAAACATCCCATTTTATCTGGTTAACAGAAAGTAAGGTCGTTCGACTACTCAACTTTCCCTAGAAAAATTTCTTTTCTTCAACTGATCTTCTTATTCGTTTATCATTCTCGTTGTGGCAGTTAAGTTGTTAAGCTACTAGCTCCCGGATGTATTTAAAACTCATATTGGGTAAGAAAACATTATTTCGTCTGGTTAATGGAAAGAACGACGATCAAGCTATATTACTTTCCCCCAACCTTTTTTCATGAAAACTAGGTTTCTAATTCATGTATTCTATGTAGAAAGAGCAAACATAGTGAAAAATTTCAACAAACATCTTTGAATTGTTGTGAAAACTGGTAACAAAAAAATACCAAAATCATGTTTTTCAATAATTGCTCAACAATTGAATCATGTATATTAACTATAAAATCAACACCAACAGAGTGAACGAGGAACATCCTATCGGCACCAACATCTGTGATAGACAAAACTAAAATTTGAACAAATGTAGAATATTATAGTTCCAAATGCAGAAATCCAACCACCAAAACAGAATTGATTAACCCATTGTGTATCACAAACACAGAAGTAATGTCACACCTAAATTAGGGGTCAAATTATTAGTTTTCGAAACTTATAGGCAGTTTTAGAAAATTACAGGAAATTCATTTACCCAGCCTTGAATTTACCCCTTTTCTATTGACATATACCAAAAATTTATTTTTGTTCCAACCTAAAACCGAGCAAGAATCAAGGGGTAATCAAAAGCAAATTCCCAACATTGGAACTCTCCCCGTCGGCCCGATCTGCCACCGTCTGGCCAGCGGTGTCATGCACCGCTAGCACCGTTGGCTTCGTCGTCACCTTCCGATCAAACCCCAGCCGTCTATTCACTTGCTCAGGCAACCCTTCATCGGGAAAAATGAAGAGTAGTGTTCGTCACTTTCCATCTCTGATATACACCTGCAAACGCAGTCAACTGATACCACCAGATCCAGTCGAAGCGTCGTCTCAGCCTGATCAAATCCCTATCGATCATGCCTCGTGAACCACCGTCATACACTGTGGAAGACTCATCGAAATTTATCAAAAAAACCAAGAAAAACATCGTTCGATTTTACGGTAGTTCAAATTGATCCTGAACTTTGTTGGTCTCACTACCGCTTCCAGTAGATTCATCATCGCCGTCCGCTCCAAACCCAGCCCTTGGGCCATTCTCTCATCGTCATTCTCCTCGTCTTTGTCATGGGTAAGGCCGATATAGTTCTGTTATTTATTTTTACCAGTTTTGGCTTGGTTTTTGTTGATGTTATTGGTCTGATCTGGTTTGAAATGATTTTTATATGCTAGTGGAAGAAACGACAAACCACCCTAAGGCCGTCGCCGTCGCATGTGTGTGGGCTTGTTCTGCCTGCCTTGGAAATCTTCTAGAACCGGTCCAGCCAGTCTGTATTCGAAGTTCATAAATGACCTAGTTGAACTGAATAAAAAAACTATTTGTGTCCGAAGTTTAGAAATGACTGAATTACTTTGGAAACTCCAAAGTAACCAGGATAGACTTGACTATTAAATGACCTAAGTATCCTCAATGATCTTGAATTAAGCAAATAACTTGGATAAGTCTGGAAACACCAATCGTTATATATATGTTGTACTGTCTATAAGGGTTTGAATCACAAATCCAACACGTCAACATTTCCTGATATCATCGCAATGTAGAAGTGAAATAAAGACTATTGGAATATATGTTAGTCTCCCTAAGATCCATTCGACGAAGATTTTGAGGACAATCAATTCGATAAGAGTTGTCTGTATTAAAGAGTGAATACCCTTGAAGTGCAACAATTTGACCGGTTGTCAGGTATCATGGTTGGGATTTGTAAAGTTCAAGTTAACTCAATGTTCCGATAGATCGACACAAATCGTAAAATGCCCTGAATCTTTGTTTATCCCTTATCAGCTCAAATTACTAAGAATTCTCCAAGAACCTAATGCCCAAAATGCCTCTGATTTCCTGAGTAATGGAATTACTCATGTCATATCTGAAAACACAAGTAACTTAGATGAAATGTATTATGAATACCATTATGATTTCATAGTGCCTCCGAAAAATGTCTGAATACTATATGATCCTGATAAATTACGTTTTGAATAACTGATGATCCCATCAACTAATAAACTCTTTTGATAGTGATTCTAATTTCCGGAATTCTATCAGTATACTGAAGATATGTGTTTCTCTGCCCGAAAAGATTATCAAGTACATCAGAATAATATATGGAACCTCTAGTGTTTTCCCTGATCATATGGATGTTTTCTATGATTTTTGTTCTGATTTCTGATATCTCTGTTTACTGACTGAAATTATTTTTATAAGGGGTACTCTGGGACTTGGGTATGGCTGAAGAATCTGGCAGGTTCAGTCGCTGTTGGTAATTCCTTGTATAGGTTCAACACCGACTGATAATTCTTTATGGACCTAAGACGACCCTTGGGTAGGCTCTGTGGCCCCGAGAATCTTTCTTAGGTTGGTTCTCAGGCCCTAAGGCTCTCCCTTAGGTTATGCATTTCTGGGGAGCTGCATATGGCGTTTGTTTGAAGGGATTACTATGGTTTTTGAAAAATACATTTTAAACTGCTAATGTTTTAAAAAGATCTGTACATTTTCACTGGTTTTATGGGAACACACTAGACACCCTATTCTGATCTCCTGAATCTAGTCATCCAAAACAATTCCTCTGAACTAAAAGCTTACTATCTTTTACTATCTGAGATATCAGTAGGATCTTAGCTCAGCATAAAAGTCTGTAGATGTCCAAATCAATAAGGAAACATATGTTTATCTGTTATCTGTATGTCCTTCAGCATCTTCTGTTAGTATTGTATTACTGAGCTTCCTAAAGCTCACTCTGTTACTCACAATTTCAGGTTAAAAGGATTGAACCAATGCAACTATCTACATTTGTAAGGGAGTTCCACCGCGTTGCTTGCGGAGAGGCGCATGTGAATAGGGGGCATGTAGCTTGTATTTTTGTTTTTTCCTAGTCTGGAATATGTTTTATTTCCGAATATTGTTAAATTTTACTGTTGTTTTTTATAAATTATTTTATGATTTTACATGTTTTAACAAAAATTTTAATTTTTTTGAGATTTTTAAGGTGGGGCGCTCCGGTGGCCCTAATGTGACACCTCGGATCAGATCGGGTCACCCACATATGTGGGTGTTACAAGTAATCTCAACAAAACCAATAGCATAAGTCATACTAATAATGATGTTTGTTTGATTATCATAATTGCAACAACGCTAACCACGATTGAGAAGAGAATACAAGATATCAAGAAGACACGCATCAGTAGCAAAGAAAATAAACAGTGGCGCATGTGAGACTTGCAATGGTGGAAGCCAATCGTCGAAAAGAGAAACGACTACAAGAACGCCAGAAATGAATAGCAGCGGCAGGAACGTCAAAGACGATCAGATCGAAAAAGTTTGACATAGACAACAAATTAAAGTAAAA